TTCAGGTAAGAAAGAGGCAGTAAAGATCATATTGCAAATTAATGTTGGTTACTGGAGTGTACAAGAGAATTTCAGAAGAAAATCAGCTTGTGTTTCGGAGATTATAGCAATGCTTTTGACTGTGTGGATCATGAAAAGCTATGGTTCATTTTAAAAGAAATGGACATGTCATAACATCTGATTGTTTTGATGCAAAATGTAGACAAGAGGCTACTGTAGGGACAGAATATGGAGAAATAGAATGGTTTCCAATTGGCAAAGGTGTCAGACAAGGATGTATTTATCTCCATATCTCTCCAGTCTATATGCAGTACATATCATAATGAAAGATGGATTTGATTTAGATGATGGTGGAGTGAAAACTGGTGGAAGGAACATTAAGAATCCGAGATATGCAGATGATCCCAGATTACTGGCAGAAAACAGTGAAGACTTGAAGTGACTACTGATGAAGGTTAAAGCAGACATTGCCAAAGCAGGATTACATCCGAAGATCAAGAAGACAAAAGTAATGAATGCTGGGGAATTACACAACTTTAAAACTGATGATGAAGAAATTGAAACTGTTCCTGATTTTGTATTCCCTGGCTCCACCATCAACCAAATGGGAGACTGCAACCAAGAGATCAGAAGGTGATTGAGACTAAGACAGGCAGCCACAAAGAAGAAGAAGAAGAAGAAGAAGAAGAAGAAGAAGAAGAAGAAGAAGAAGAAGAAGAAGAAGAAGAAGAAGAAGAAGAAGAAGAAGAAGAAGAGATTGGATTTATACCCTGCCCTTCACTACCCAAAGGAGTCTCAGAGCGGCTTACAAACTCCTTTCCTTTCCCTTCCCCTCCCCACAACAGACACCCTGTGAGGTAGGTGGGGCTGAGAGAGCTCTGACAGAAACTGCTCATTTTTCAAGAACGGCTCTTATCAGAACTATGGCTTTCCCAAGGTCATCCAGCCAGGTGGAAGTGGAGGAGTGGGGAATCAAACCCGGTTCCCCCAGATTAGAGTCTGCACACTTAACCAACTACACCAAAGAAAAGGTCCTCAAGTGTAAAGATGTGTTGCTGGCAACCAAGATCAAGATAACGCATTCCCCATTACTACGTGTGGGTGTGAAAGTTAGATAATGAAGAAAGCTGACAGGAAGAAATGCGATTCATTTGAAATGTGGTGTTGGAGGAGAGTTTTACAGATAACCATGGACTGCCAAAAAGACTAATAAGTGTGCTCTAGGTCAAATCAAGCCTGGACTCTCCTTAGAAGCTAGAATGACCAAACTGAGGCTATCGTACTTTGGTCACCTCATCATGACAAGACAGTATGCACTGAGAGAAAAAAAGACAATAATGCTAAGAAAAGTTGAAGGCATCAGGAAAAGAGGAAGACCCCAACGAGATGGATTGATTCAATCAAGGACGCCATAGTCCTCAGGTCACAAAACCTGAGAACAGCTGTTAATGATGGGACGTTTTGGAGATCATTCATTCACAGGAGCTTCTTTAGTTGGATGCGATTTTGCGGCACTTAACACACACACACAGACGTCGATTGTGTGTGTATAAAGTGTTGCTGCAGCTGATTTATGGTGACTCCAGCAAAGGGCTTTCAAGGCAAGTGAGAAGCAGAGGTGGTTTGCCATTGATCTCCTCTGCAGAGTCTTCCTTGTTGGAGTCCCTTCCAAGTACTGACTAGGGTTGCCAGGTCCAATTTTGTCTCTGGCGGGGGACTTTGGGAGGTGTCCCCAAGAGGGCGGGACATCCTCAATGTGATGACATCACATTGGGGACATCCTGCACCAAGTCCCACCACCAAGAACAATCCCCGGCGACCACCCCTCTCCCTAATCTCCTGCAAGATTTAAAGGGCCCACCAATCAGGTGGAGGGCCCTTTATTTATTTATTTATTTATTTATTTATTTTCAGTTTTACAAATCAGACATTCCATCTGTGTTCCTTTACATATATAGTAGAGTCATTATACACTTAACAAGTCTTCTAACCAATTATACACCTTTAACCATCTCTTCGCATGTACCTTCTCATTTTGGTTTTGTAATGTCAAACTCAAATTATCAATTTGCGCTAATTCTAATATCTTCAATGTCAATTCTTCTTTAGAGGGTATTATTTCAGATTTCCAATTTTTAAGCCAGTAATAATCGAGCAGCAGTTATTATATAAACTAATAAATATGATTCTTGCACATTATATCCATCCGGGATTATATTTAACAAATATATTTCTGGTTTTAATGCTAATTTTTTCCCTAGAATTTCCTGAATTATCTTTCGCACCATTTTCCAATAACCTTATATTTTACTACATTTCCACCACATATGGTAAAAGGTCCCTATATTCATTTTACATTTCCAGCATAAATTGGAATACCCAGAGTATTTAGATCTTGCAAGAGGGGAGAGAGAGAAGCAGCTGCCGGCCGTGTGCCTGAACTCCAAGTGGCAACCCTTTAAGCGCTTCCAGCCAGTGGGGCCCCACGCACAATATCCAAACAGCAATGTTGCTTGGAGAGTGGGACCAGGAGGCCAGTCCCCAATGGCTGGAAGCACTTAAAGAGACCCTTTAAATGCTTCCAGCCAGTGGGCCCCTGTGTGCCCACAGCTGCCCCCTCCATCCCCTTTGCAAAATTTAAAGAGAGAAGGGAGTAAGGTTGCTAGACCCCGCCCCCCCCGTTTGGCAGGGGTTACCCACTTTTGGGTTCCAGGAATGAGCTCCTGGAAGAGATCAGGGCCCTGTGGGACCTATTACAGCTCCGCAGGGCCTGCAAGACGGAGCTCTTCCGCGAGGCTTTCGATTAGGAGCCGCCCCACTAATACCATCAACGAGCCCAGCCCTCAGTTTCAACATCTGGTTCATTACACTGAGTGACTCAGGACGACACTGAACTGAACTCAACAGCTGGAGACATATCCAGTATGCCACCGCAAATAAGAACTATATGACTAATAGCACCTTACGTTTTTATGTTTCTATGTTTTATAATCCTATATCGTAGTGTTTTATAATGTTATATGGTTTTATCGGCAATGTGCCAATGTTGTAAGCCGCCCTGAGCCCGCATGTGGGTAGGGCGGGATATAAATCGAATAAATAAATTTCACAACAAAAATGTTTATTGAAAATAGTTTGTAACAAATTAGTATAGAAAGCAATAAACAACATACTTTCAAGGTTCTTATATAGTATACAATTCTATAAAATACTAGTTAACGTTTATATTCAAACAAAAATTAAGACAGCATATTTATCTTCATATTCTTGTTAAAATTACCATAACCTCTGGTAATTAAAACCAAAAAGAAAATAATACAATTATTGGCCATATAGCATAATTTGGTATTTAGCATTGGAGATTCTTTCCCAGTCGAATTTGTCGATTGTAATTTTGTCCAAGATAGGGTTCCATTTATCTAAAGGATTATAAAATTCAAATTTGTTTTGATGCGTAGTATTATAAATAGAATTTTTTTTCCAATAAAAAGAAATTCCAAATATTATGAATCCACTGGGTAATAGTAGGTATCTGTTTATCTTTCCATTTTTTTTGCAATAAGAGCTTTGGCTGCTGTAATCAAGATGTTAATCAGTTGTTTAGTATTTGAAGAATAGTTGTCTGTTGGCCAAAGATTAAGCAGTATTAGAGCTGGGTCCATCATATCCCGTAAATGAATAAATTGAATAAATAAATAAAATGGGGGGGGCTCAACCCACTGCCAGCCAGCTGGCCAGTGGGGGAAGCCCTGCCCCTAACCCCAACACGCGCAACCACCCCTCTCCCTTCTCTCTTGAGAGAGAGGAGTGGCTGTGGGCCCCGCTCCTGATTGAGCACGAGGGGCCCTCCAGCTGCGTGTACTTAAAGGGAACCCTTTAAGTGCAGGTGCATGGGGCAAAACGGCCCCATGTGCCTGATCTCTAAGCAGCAATGCTGCTCGGAGACTGGGCGCGCGGGGCCCGTTGGGACCGTCCCCGCGGGGGCGGGGCTTGGAGCCGGGACATCCCTAACGGGATGTCATCATGTTGGGGGTGCCTTGCCCCCTCCAGGAATTCCTTTCCCAAGTCCACCGCTTGGGACAAAGATGGACCTGGCAACCCTAGAAGGGAGAAGGTGTGGGTGAGGAGGCTTGGGCATGGGGCTGGGGGCGGGGCTGGGGTCGAAGCCTCAAAAGTTCTGGCAGCCTCAGTACTGACCCTGCTTAGCTTCCAAGATATGACGAGATTGGGTTATCCCATGCCGCCTTCGCTCCCATCCAGTCCATTAGGCAAGCCTTATATAAGTTCGAAAACAATCATTTTGAACCTAGGCTACTAATTTTTTTTTTGTTCAGTAGCACAGTCGAGTCCGACTCCTCGCGACCCCATGGACCAGATCATGCCAAGCCTTCCTGTCTTCTGCCATTCTCCGAAGCCCGCTCAATTTCATGTTCGTTGCATCCATGACACTGTCCAACCATCTCACCCTTTGCCGTCCCCGTCTTCTTTGACCTTCAATCTTTCCCAGCATCAGGGTCTTCTCCAGGGAGTGCTCCCTTCTCATTGGGTGGCCAAAGTATCTGAGCTTCAGTTTCATCATCTGGTCTTCCAGGGAACAGTCTGGGTTGATTTCTGTTAGGATTGACTGATTTGATCTTCTTGCAGTCCAAGGGACTCTCAAGAGTCTTCTCCAGCACCATAGTTCAAAAGACTCTATTCTTCTGCGCTCGGCCTTCCTTATAGTCCAACTCTCGCAGCCATACATGACTACTGGGAATACCATTGCTTGGACCATGCGGACTTTTGTTGGCAGGGAGATGTCTCTACTTTTACTACTACATGACCAAAAAAAAAAAATGGTTGCCAGTTTTGTCCTTCACTGTGTTTCTGATACAGCTGCTAACGTCTGTGATCTCCTCAGAGATATTTCTTTCGCGGAAATCTTAGACAGGGGGAAAAGAACAAACGTTTTTTTAACATCAGAGGAGTGATTTCTCCGTCTCCGCAGTCAGGGTTGAAAAATGAGGCACGACGATCTTGCGGGCCGTGAGGGCCACCTAACTCAAGAGTTCAAAGGACGCTTCTGGAGACTCAGACATCAGCACAGAGGTATGGAAATCTGACTGGGGCCACCTTCCCACCATTCATTTGAAACACCAGTGACATTTACCATATTGCCCCTCTGACAACCTTAGGCAACACAGACATAGCAAAGATAAGCTTTACCACACAGGGATAAGATAAGATCATCATTTGTAGATCCTTTCCCCTATCTCAGCTTCCCACCTATCCAGTTTCAACCAGCCTAACTAGTTTTTTTTTCTCCCTGCAACCCACCTCAGGTAAGGTAACCAACCTGTCTCTATCACTACTGAGTAGGGCTCCTCGTACGAAGGGCAACAATAATGCAGTGCAACAAGCTATGCAGAGTTCAGCTTGTGACACCCTTCTAGATCAATCAGTTTCAGGTTAGAAACCGGATTTCTGTCTCAACGTCTTTATCCGTGTCGATTCATTTCAAAGGCACCTGTATCTTCCTTACTTATCTTCACTATTACGCCACCCGTGAAAAGACAATGGTTTGTGGCCTCAGTTACTGAAATCACAGAAGACTGGGCCTTGTCTACGGCAATAAAGGAAAGTGGCTGGCCATGACACATTTATTACATGTACTTGATTCAAAGCTTGGATCCAGGCGAATATTTCCATAAGCAGAAGGATTTTTGGCAAATATTGGCAAATATTTCCATAAGCAGAAGGATTTTTGGCAAATAATGGCAAATATTTCCATAAGCAGAAGCAGGGCTCTTTTTGTAGCAGGAACTCCTTTGCATATTAGGTGACACACCCCTAATGTAGCCAATCCTACAAGAGTTTACAGTAGCCCCTGTAAGAAGAGATATGTAAGCTCTTGGAGGATTGGCTACATTAGGGGTATGTCGCCTAATATGCAAAGGAGTTTCTGCTACAAAAAGAGCCCTGACTGCAGAAGCATCACCTTGACACAGAGAGTACTCCATCTTTCTGTGGTATACCTCTGAGCACGGGTCATTTCCTGCAGGAGCACACAGGAGCGGAGCTCCGGCAGTAAAGAGCCCAGGGGGTGGGCACATGCAACAAGCCCCATCCCCTGCTCCCAGCAGTCCTCAGAGCAAGAAGCAGCCAGGTCAGTTGCAGAGCTCCTCCCAGCCCCCCGGTCCAAAACAGTCCAGTGGCACCTTTAAGACCAAGTTTTATTCAGGTACTAGCTCTCCCTCCTCTGCCAGGACAGATCTGCACGTCCCCCCCCCCAAAAAAAATAGCTAGCTCTCCAAAACAGTCCAGTGGAGCCTGAGTGGTGGGTGTTGCCTTCTGACACAATTCCGGTGATATCATGGGGTGTGGCATATGCAAATAAGTTATGCTAATGAGTTATGCTAATGAGCTCCTGCACCTCTTTTTCTACGAAATGACCCCTGCCTCTGAGGATGCCAGTCACAGTTACTGGTGAAACGTCAGGTCCTACAATGCCAAGACCACGGCCATACAACCCGGAAAATCTACAACAACTAACGAAGGATTTTTGTCCATGGAGCTTGACTTTCTCACCTCCTACTTCTGCTCCAGCCCAGAATGCCTCCTGAAAAGGTGCTTCTGGAGGACGGGGGACCCTCAGGTATAGCATTTCAGGCGGCATCCTGGGATACAGTGAGAAAGGAGGGGAAGGGTATAAAGTCACACTCTAGATGGAACTCCTTCCACCCACCGAAACATCCAAGACAGTAGAAGTCAGGGCTGGAGCCAGGATTTTGTAATTCGGGGGGGGGGGCTTTAAATAGGTCAGGGGGGCACGGACGTCACAAAATAAAAAAACAAAATTAAAATAAAATGTTAAAAACTCACTTCTGCAGAGTTCGCAATCTGCTTGCCTATGCAGGGAAGCAAGCTGCGCTTGGGGAAGGGGCGGCGGTGGGGAGTCCTCCAGGTGGCCCAGAGAGTTGGGGGGCCTGGGGGCTGCATGGAAGTCAGGGGGCCAGGCCCCGAAATGCCCCCTGCAGCTACGGGCCTGGTAGAAGCAGGAGCAAACATTAGCATCAGTTTCATTTTGTAAGACAGAAACGACTAGGAAACCCTTGGAGGCAGGGGAGTCCGGTTTACACACCAGAGAACTGAGAAGTGCGTTCAGACGTTAAAAAAAAAAAATTCAAACCATCTCAACTGCTTCTCAGTCAGTCACGTTAATAATGACTGTAAACCTCCTCTGCAGCGTGGTATAAACTTAAACCAAAATTAAAACCAAAGCAACATAAAAGCTCCTGACAAGGCTGATATGATGTGGCTGATTATTATGCATTTTGTTTTAATTTGTTTAAAATGAGGGTGCTGAGCTGGGCACGACGTTGGGGATGCTGTACATCTCATTGCTCGGCGATTTTATTGTACTGAATCTACCTCTGTGCTTCTGCGTACAGTTGATAAGGTGCCACAAACCTCTGCTTCTAAGTGGCAAGGTAAAGGTAAAGGTTCCCTTGCTCGGAAGCCAGTCGAGTCCGACTCTAGGGTTGCGGTGCTCATCTCCGTTTCAAAGCCGAAGAGCCAGCGCTCTGCGAAGACGTTTCCGTAGTCATGTGGCCGGCATGACTAAACACCAAGGCGCACAGAACGCTGTTCCCTTCCCACCAAAGTGGTACCTATTTATCTACTTGCAATTTCTTGCTTTCAAACTGCTAGGTTGGCAGGAGCTGGAACTAAAGACGGGAGCTCACTCCGTCATGCGGCAACTCGGGTCTCGAACTGCTGAACTACTGACCTTCCACAGCCTGCAGTTCAGCGTCTTAACCACTTGAGCCAAGTAGAATATAAATGTTTTAAATAAACAAACAAATGTGATCATATGATAAGACTGAGTGAACTTCCCATTTCTTGTCTTTAAGCGAGAGATGCTGAGACCTTGGGTTTTAAATCTTCATTGACAACACTTGGGAAATCATGAATGCATTCAAAGAGCTGTAATGAATCAGCAGACCTTAAGCTTTATTGTATAAAACCAGAATACGGAAACAGTCACATCTAGATTCTTTTCATTCCGTATTTGAATGCTGTCATTGGCATCCATTTGTGCATGCTTATAATGATCTCTTTAACACTATATATCTTTGGATAGTTTAAAAAACTGTGGAAAGGTGAACTCGGGTTTGCCACTAAACATACACCCACCAAGGAACTGCAGCTAATCTTGGCTCCTTGCCAAGTATCCCTGTGATATATATGTTTGACACATCACATGTTTAAAATGTGCAATGAGTGAAGTTGGAATCCCAGAGCCAGTACATCTGTGAATACCAGTTGCTGAGTGGCAACAGCAGGGGAGAGCTTTGTCTTCACACCCATGGGTACGTGGTTAGCTCATCTGCGAAACAGAATGTTGGCCAAAATGGTCAGATCCAGCAGGTTTCTTTTTCTGATCTTATATTTCTTACTGATATAACACGTACTGCTTGGGAGAAAGATGGAATCAGTTTCTCTGACCAACTCTCAGTCACTCTCAGTTTTCTTCTCAAGGCTTTTTTGTGCCCTTGGCAACCTTGCCCACTTAACATTCTGTGAGGAGTTTCTTCTTAAGTCTCCTTCGAAATCAGCAGAGAATCCACATATGAGCAATGAGAAGCAAAATCCCTCTAAGTAGACTTTGATATAATCTGCAATATACACAAACTAGGAGTAAGGCCCGTTGTGGGAAGAAATACAACGAGCTCTAGAAGGGAACTCCAGGTGAATGTCCCGGCTGTGGCTGGTGGGGCAGCAGAGGGAAGGGGAAATTAGAGAGAGGCAAGCCACGTTTCTTTCCTTCTGCTTCGCTATAAGGCAGGGCTGTCTCAAGTCATTTTGCTGCCCCAAGTGGGTAGTATAGGAGGACAGCTTCATGGTAACAGGTATGGTTCCCTCCACCCCTGACATATGTTGATTTGAGGTTATGCAGTGGCAGCTAAGGTAGAAAAGCACCTCCTCCTATGCCATGTCTTCTGGGTTCCAAGGGTCTGGAAAGTGGTTCCATAGCCAGTTACAGGGTTGCCAACTCTGGGTTGGGAAATACCTGTAAATTTGAGGGGAAGAAGAAGAAGAACAGACACCCTGTGAGGTGGGTGGGGCTGAGAGAACTCTGACACAAACTGCTCTTTTTCAAGGACAGCTGTGCCAGAGCTTGTGACTGACTCAAGGTCACATCAGCAGGTGCAAGTGGAGGAGTGGGGAATCAAACCCGGTTCTCCCAGATTAGAGTCCGCACACTTAACCACTACACCAAACTGGCTTTCTGCCTGGGTAGGGCAGTGTTTGGGGTGGGGAGGGACCTCAGCAGGGTATAATGCCATAGGGTCCGTTGCCAAAAGCAGCCATTTTCTCCAGGAGAACTGATTGTGGAGATCTCCAGGTGCTGCCTGGAGGCTGGCAATACTAAGGGGAGGACCATACCTGTAGATTTGAAGGGTAGAGCCTGGGGAGGGCAGGGTTTGGGGTGCAGAGGGACTTCAGCATGGTATAATGCTATAGAGTCCACTGCCCAAAGCAGCCATTGTAATAGCTGGGGCATTTTCTGTAGGAGAAATGATGTGCTGTAGTTCGGGAACACGGTGATTTCTGGGAGATCTTCAGGCCCCACAGGGAGATTGGCAACTCCAGTGACTGTTTAAGAGAAGATTGGTATATGTATTTTACCTCAAGACACATTCAATGACTCCCAACAGCAACAACAAACTGTTTAGAATGTCAGAGGCAAAGGCCAATCAGGCCACATATGCAAGTGACCTCTGTGTTCTGACTGGCTATTGGGGGGAGAGGAACAGCAAACTGTTTAGAATATTGGAGGCAAGACTCAGGCAATGCAGCCAGTGGATAGGGACAGCTTCTGAGTGACAGATCAGGGAGCCAACTGATTTGGGAGTGTGTGGAATGTTCAGGAGAGTCCACAACCAAAACATAATTATTATATAGAGAGATGGCCTGAGACAAATATGGCTTTGCTCCCCTTTACCTCATGGTAGGGAAGAACAAGCCTGTAAAAGCCACTGCAGCCCCAAACTTTACACGTGTCAGCTCAGCTTTCAGGTTATCCAACAAGAACTTTGCATCAA